GCCCTGGCTGTGGCGGAGCCCCGGGTTTGAAGTCCGCCCCATGCCCGCCTCTCCCAACCCCCAGCTCATTTCCCGAGGGTCAGGAGAAAGCCACCTGACTTTCACGGTTTGCCGTCTCCCGAACCAGAACCGGGCTCGCAAGACAGCACCCGCCGGAGGGCGGATTCGGGGTCACCGGGCCTCGTCACAGCTCAGGGACAGCGCCGGTCCTGGTCTTGCTGCAGTCCTGGGCTTGGAGTCCTCGCCTCACTGAGAAGGAGCAAAGTGATCCGGGAAGAGAGGGGAAAACTGAAGACAGGTAACTTTCCCATAGTTTCTTCTTCTATAATAAATCGGATCTGAGTTTGACTCCTAACATTTTGAATGTTTCCTAATATGACCATTAAGTGCCTTTATGATTACGCAAAAGCAAAGAAAGAGCATTTTAGACAAATAAAAAGGTAGAAATAAGAAACAAGACATCGAGGCAAGTAGACTATAACTAATATAGCTATGGTGATGATTCGTGAAAAAATAGAAAAAAATCAAACAATGAATATCGAAATGACATTCAGCACGCAAACCACACAAGAAACGTAGTACACACAAATTCACGGAGATCGATTTAGGATAAGCCCCTAGAGATGAAGAGACACAGGACCTCTCACCACCTGCACAGTCGTTCCCAGAAAGCTTGGGGTGAGGTGCTCTCTCCGCATTCCGCGGTGTCACCGAGCGGGGGAGAAACAGCACCGCGCACTCCGCACACAGCACCCACGGGGTGAGTCACTCATGCGCTCTGTGTGTCAGGCGCAATAGTAAGGTCGGCGTGGCCCTGGCCCTTGCACACAGGACGACCATTCTTCTCCAGAGACGACAGCAGCTGCGAGTGAAAAGGTGGAAAGCAGCTGTTAGGCGCCTATGTGGAGTCAGGTGCTGCTTTGCGGCATGGGCTTGGAGGAAGCCAAGGAGCTCGCCCTAGGCTCTTTGCCTGAAATCTGTGTTAAATGCATTTTCCCTTTTATAGCGGTTTACTCACTTTTAAATAGTTTCATGTGCATAAAACAAAAACACAATTCCAAGAGCTTTAAATATCATCTATTTATTACACAAAATAATTTACAGTTCTGAGATCTTGAGAAATTCAGTCTTTCTGTTTTCCACTTTGATAGGCACATAGCATTCATCTTCAAGTTTGCTTCCTGTCACAGGGTGCTAGCTGTAGCCCCACCACCCCATCCACATTCCAGGGAGCAGGAAAGAAGGAAGGAAGCCTCTACAGAGTCAGCTCTTAAACTCAGGGAAGCTCTGCTCACCCCTCCACCACATAACTGTGGGACTCTACCTCATTGGCCCATGTGAGCTGCAAGGTCACCTGCCTGAGAAATGCCATCCCTTCACTCTGCACACTGCCACATTGCTGAATAAAGTCGGGGTGGATTACAGAACAAGGGAAGGATGGATGCTTCCTTTTGACCACTAAAACTTTTCTATAGTGATGCAAATATTCAAACCAGAACTTAGCTCATGGAGTGATTCTTTGAAGTTAGAGATAAAATTTCTCTTATTTTGTTTTTATAAAAGTCATATTTTAATCTAATATTTGTACATTAACTTATTGTTTGCAAAAGCTCTTCATAGAAATCATCTATTTAGCTGGGCAAGGTGGTTCACACCCATAATCCCAGAAAACTGGGAGGCTGAAGCAGGAAGATTCCAAGTTTGAATCTAGTGTGGGCAATTTAACAACTTAATCAGACCTTGTGTCAAAATTAGAAACAAAAGAGGCTGGGGTGTCACAGTGTGAAGGCCCTGGGTTCAATTCCCGTAACTGTAAAAACATACACTTTCAGGAGGCAAATATTTTGCAGGGATCATCGAAGAATGAAGTCGCAGCCAGTCAGTAAGCAGAGGAGACAAGCTTTCCCCAGATCCGGGGACAGGCACCTTTGTCTGAAACCCGAGGAGCAGGCAGCCAACGCCCCTCACTTCTTCAGCTAGAGTTAACGATTTCTATTCATCCTGTCACTTAATTATAGCCAGTGATTTCTTTTTAAAATTTTAAAATTCAACATTATTTAACAAACGATGGAGAAAAGACAGCAAGCTGAGAAGGAAAAAAGCGAAAGTGGGTGATTTACTAACTTCTTGTGTGCAGGCCTGCAGCCCCTCCCCGCAGCTCTGAGTCCCTGCAGCCCTCTTCAGGAGAAAGCTGAGATGGATCAGAGGCTGCGCCTCTGCCGGCCCATGTGTCAGCAGTGACAGGTGAGGACCTGAAAGCGCTCTTGCTGGCTCCACACCTGCACTGCGGTTTTACTCGAACCTCTAAATATTTAGCAGACTGTTCCCGATGATCCAGTCACACAGAGGTGTGCAATAGCGAAGGAGCCCAATGAGGGGCAGAAGCCATGTCACTTGGCTGCTGGAGATAGGGAAGAATGGAACAAATTGCGAGAGAGTGCTCAGGGTGCCCTCATCTGGGCGTCTCGGATGACTGTTTTCCTACGTGCTCCAAACATCCTGCTTAAAGACAGGAGCTCTGTGTGCTTTTCTGAGTGGATTTTCCCCTAGTTTAATCACTACCCTTGAACGCCTGTACCGTATGATAGGGTCGCAAGGTGTCCTACAGGAGGATCCCCCACCCCGTGATAACAGCACAGGAGACAGATACTGTGTCCTTCAACTTTGAAACTGCTCCTCCAAGGGCTAGATAAGGTGACAGACACCCAAAGAGGTCAACCTTAGTGCCATGCAATTAAGAGACGAAGATTCACGCCCACCGCCTCCGCTCCGTACGCCTGTAGTCACAACATCTTCTCTCAAGGGCTCCAAATGAAAACATCCTTGACACATTCTAACAATTACAGAATTCAACATCGACTGATTATTCTGTAAGAGAGGGGTGAGCACACGAAAACTACAAAGCATCCCCCAATCTGCTCTTGAACAATGACTAAAGTATGTGATGTTTTTAATGTCTTCCAGATCATTAAGGGAAATTAACAAAGCAGCCTCCTCTCCTGAGACTTGCTGAAGCCGCAGTTTTCAGCAGAGAGTGATTTTGCGCCCAGGGGACATTAGATAATGTCTGGGGATATTTTTGGTTGTCACAACCGGGGGTGCTACTAGAGACTAACTGGCAGAAGCCAGGACACCAGATGCCCTATGAAGCACGTGACAGTCCCCACAATGCGAGGTACCTCATCCCCAGTGCCAATGGTGCTGATTTCAATTTGGGGTTGAGAAATTCCAAATTAAAATAGCCTGTCAGTGTTTTAGTGTTTTACCTGAGTACAGAGCTGGAGGGCAGAGATTTGGGGTGCGCTCTAGATTCCAAATAATCAGGACACCCAAGTCAGCTCCTGGTGTCCAGCTGAGCACAGAGGTGAACCCTCTGGAAGCTGGCACCTTCTCACAGCCCACACATCTTGGACTCGAGCTTTGTCTCGGCCGCTCTGTGCTTTCTGCAACTTCTGGTGGTGAATGAGGTGACATCTGCACTGGCTTGTATACAGACTCTTTTGAACACTACCGCTCTAGTACAACTGGGTCTTTCTTTTTGACAATTTAGTTCCACAAGCCACATGTGAGGATCACAGAGCGAGGCTGAGAGTCCAAATCTCCACATCTCACTGTGACCTTCTGGCCTCTGCCCCATACATCTTGCCTACAGGCCCCAAGTGCTTGAATGTGGAGAAGCTACATTGTAGCTGAAAGATGCTGGCTGAGGAGAAAATGCATGCAGTGTGGAGTTGGGCTAAGCTAATTCAATTTCTTTCCATATAGCCTGTGTTTGTACATCGGCCTTGAAGAGTTTTAAAGCCCTCTGAACACCATAGTCACCCCTGTGCAATTTTTGTAATTACTCACCTCAAAGAGTTGTGTTAAAGATTAAATATGATGAAATATCTGAACATTGTTTCATTGTCTATAAGCGTCACACAGATTACAGTCCTCACAGACTATTTTCAGAGAGGCTGGAAGCGTATGTATTAGGTGAGAACAGCTATCCGTGTTTGTGGTTTATTCCATCTATTGACAAAGTGAATTTTATGTACGACGATGGTGTAGAGGGCCTGTCCTTCCTCAATTAGAGGGAAAGAACTATTATGTTAAACTTGTTTAAACACTTTCTCCTTTTTTGCAGGGTGGGTGGTTAAAGAGAGCAAAATAGCTTCTGCTTCACGTAAATAAATGTAAGCAATACTGGATTCTGGATGACAGAACTGCGTAAACAACGGCCGTCCTAAATGCTGCTGGCCCTGGGGTCCCGAGGAGTGTGAGAGCGCCTCCAGCCTCTCTTGACAGGTGAGAATTCGCACAGTGAGAAAGACCAGGCTGACCTTGGCCTGTGTCACCGGTGCAAGGGGACACTCCCTGAGCAGAGCCGTCCTCTTCCAGGAGGCTGAGCAGGGTTTTCAGGGCAAAGCCCTTCGGGGCCTCAGGCTTTAGTTTCCTCAGAGTGGAGGTTTTCTCATGGGTCTGATTCTTTTCAAAATTCTTTGGTTTCTGGTCCGTGTCAGAGTCACACGCACAGAGCCAGCTCGGGGCTGACCTCTGGGCTGGGAGCACGTCTGCGTAGAGCTGCAGGGAGACATCTTTGTCTTCTTTACCCTTGGTTTCTCACAAGCCACTGTGCTGCTTTACTCTGCTTTCGAGTCAGTCCCAGCTGTGAGGCTGCGAGCCCCTTTGGGGTCGCAGTTTATTCCCCGCTCTGCAGGTGAAATGTATCACTCGCTGTGTGCAGCCGCCTAGGACTCGGCTGTGCCCAGAGCCTCACCCTTCCTGAGGTCAACACCTTCTCTCCTCCAGTCCCCGGAAAACCAGGCTCCCTCTGACCCTCCCTGTCGGCCCTGGGCACTTCACTCCCCTAGCAGTCCC